GAGGCCCGCAGTCGTGAGGAAACAGTGCGGTCCTGGTGCAGACACTGTCTGGTGGCCGTAGGGTCGTGCCGTGTCAGGTGGTCATGGAGGAGCCCAGGGACAGGGCGCGAGGCCCAGGCTGGGAGCTGCAGACGAGGCCGCTGTGCCGGAGGCCTCTGCTGCGGTCGGACTGGTCCACCTGTGCCTGCAGCAGCCTGGGTGGGCCCCGGGGCTGGGCCGCTCCCCAGCTGGCACCGCGACCTGCTGAATATTTCAGGGTGGAAAGTCCCGGCTCTCTTCCGCTCTCCCCACCGCCAGCACCTGCAGCTGGGGTCCCACCTGCCAGAGGCAGTCTGGGCGGGTGCCTGGGAGACTGGGCGGCTGTACAGGTCCTCAGTGACCCAGAATTCACACCAAGAGGGTGAGAATGGCGGGCGGGAACCCTGGCCTGGATGAGCTGGGGCCGCCTCTGCCCCCTCCCCCAGTGACTGAGCCCTGGGTCACCTGCTCCTCTCTAAGTCGGCTCTAAGTGGACACCCTGTCAGGCCCAGTGTAGACCCCAGTTCCCAGCGTAGCTTCGCTTGTTGCTGTCACCCCGCCCCTTCCTGCAGCACCCCACCACCTGCCTGCGCGGTGAGGGAGACAGCCAGGCGGGGGCTGCAAGAGGAAAGGGGCCGCCCGCCCGCCCGCCTGCCCGCCACCAGCGGTGGGGACGGGGAAGGGGACGGCTTCTCTCTTCGTGCCCTGGCCAGTTTCAATCCTTAGACCTCAGAGCCTCCACTCCGAGCAGTCAAATACCAGCTATCTTGGAGCTGTCGCCACCAACACCTCCTGCTCCATCAGAGTCAGGCACCCTCCAGGCCCACCTGTCAGCCTGGAGAAAGGTGTTAGTCTGAGCCGTGTGACACTTGCTGCCATTTGGCTGCTTTACTCTACCTATAAAGCAAACTGTGTGATTCAGTCTAGTTCGGAGCGGGCAACTCTGTGTATAGAGGGACAACGCCTGACCTGAGCAGTGTGGCCATGAGCAGAGCCCCGGCGGTGTCACAGTCTGGGACCCGCCTCACCCGCTTCTCTGCCGGCGCATCCCAGTCAGTGCACTGTGTGACTCTGGGCTCAGCCCTGAGTGCTCAGGAATCTGGGCCTGCCTTCTCCTGCCCAGGCCTGCTGTGTCTTCACACCGCATCAGGCCCTCTGCTGTGAGCACAGACCAGGCTCTGTCTCGGGCCACTTCCGAAGGAAGACTGTTGTCTATGGCTCCTGTGCTGCCCGTGTAACACCTCCATCCCACGTCTACCCACGGACTCGGGGTTCTCAGTGGTCCCTGCCCAGCGGTCAGCAGATGCTCCGTGAATGCTGCTTGCCTGGATGGCTGGGCGGATGATGGATGGATGGGTGGATGGATACATGGGTGGGTGGATGGATGGATAGACGGATGGATGGATGGGTGGGTGGCTGGGTGGATGATGGATGGATGGGTGGATAGATGGATAGATGGGTGGGTGGGTGGATGGAGGGATGGGTGGCTCTGGTCCTGGCTGCCCTGGAAACATGGGTGTCTAACTGTGAGAAGCCTTTAGGGTCCTGAGGGTTGAACGGCACTACTGCCTGTTTAGTCTTGAAAATGGGGTCAGAATGACTCAGAGGAAAGAGGCCTGCTGCAAGGAGCCTGTGCAGCAGAAGCAGCAAATGGTGCAGTGGAAAAACTCAGCCATTGGTATTGGAGGACAAAGAAGGTGGCCTCCATGACCCGTGGCTGTGTGGCGGTTGTCGCTCCCCACGAAGTGGGAAGGGAGCCCAGGGCAAGGGAGAAAGTTTGCTTGCTTAGGAAGAGCCTCAGATTCCCTTCCAGGCAGGCCTGGCTTGCTGTGTGGCTGTGGTGTGTGACTGCCTCTCTGTCTTGGGCTCGTGGAACCACACTGGTCCTTAAGGTGCTTTCCCTTCCTCCTCTCCTGGGAGGCCTGGGAGGGAGGAAGGAGGCTGGGCTTGGTGGATCAGGACAGGTGCAGAGCAGGGCAGCTGTGAACCATGGCAGCAGCAACCCAAGAAGGGTCCAGGCAGACCTTGGAGGACCTACCTGGCTCCTGGTGGCATCTTTCTTGGCGCTCCCCACACCGCTGCAGAGACTGCTAGGCGTGCCGTGCCTGGAAGCCCTGCCTGCTCGCCTTCCCCTGCAGCTTTTCCTTCTCAGAGCCTGGACTGCTGTGTCTGTGTTTATTCAATCAGCTTACTTACACTTACTAGGCCTTTCCAGTCTCTGTTGCCATACCTGTGCTATGTTCTGGGGACTATTATTCTTATACATGATTGTATGTATTATATATGATTCCCCATGGAATCACAGTGATACACGCCTGTAATGCCAGCACTTGGGAGGCTGAAGCAGGAGGATCTCAAGTTCAAGGCCAGCCTGGGCTACATAGCAAGACCGTGCCCTGCCCCAAATCAAGGAAAATCTGGACTAAAGGGTTTTCAGTCCCTTTGTAAAGTAGTCATTCCATCCTCTTAGTCCTCTTTGTTCTCCATCTGCCAATATTGGCTGCTCTTCATTTATTTATTTATTTATTTTCCTTCGGGTACCGGGGATTGACCTCGGGTCCTTGTGCTTGCAAGGCAGGTGCCAGAACCACTGAGCTAAATCCCCAGCCCTTGGGTGCTCTTCTTTTGCAGTGTTGCTGGACTGAGGGAGGATCCAGAGAAAAACCCAACAGGGTTTAAAGGTGAACTTTGGCAGGAGGCCAGCTGTGCTGCCTTCCCACCCATTAGTCCTGCACCGAGTGCCGCCGGCTGAGGGCCAGTCTGAGTCTGTGACCTGCCCTCCTGGGTCAGCAAAGCTGTCCCTGTGCGTTGGGTCCTCCCTCCATGAGCTCAGAAGTGAGGCGGTGGTGAAGCACTGTCCGCTGCCCACCAGGCTGTGGGCAAGGGGCCGGGTCTGAGAGTTTGGCCTTCTCTGCCTGGGGTGTGATCAGGTTGCAGGGGACCCATGGATGGTAGGAAGAGGCCATGTCCCTTTCTGGTCACCTCCTGTCAGGACTTTAAATAGCAGCTCTGTGCCCACGCGCATACCTCAGGGGAGGCAGCGTCTGCAGACATAAACCACAGCCTGGAGGCCTGGCTGGGGGCCGGGGCACAGGGTGCACTCTGCCAGGCCGCGCCTCACCCTTTGAGGCACAACCTGAGGGTCACCCCGGCCCAGCTCCTTCCTTGCTGCCCATTTTCTACATTTCCTGCCATACCTCTGTGGGGAGGTGTTTGTACAGCTCCGCAGTGATGCCTGTGCTCATCTCTCCCTGCCGCCGGGCTGGGGCTCCTGAGGGAGGCGTGGGGTCCTCTTTCTCCCACATCTTCAGCATCCCTGCCTGGTCTCGGCCCTCAGCTCTGGGCCACTGCCAGGTGTGGTGCTGACCCACATCTGACTTCTCCGGGATGAAGCCCATTGTGCATTCACTGGGTCTGAGATCCTGGCCCCCTGCCTTCCTCTCCTGGCCTCAGGCCCTGCCAGCCTGTCCTCAGATCACCTCAGAGCTCAGTTCACCCAGCCAGTGGGGCAGTACCTTGTCTTGGCATTGACTCTGAGGTGGCTCCCGGTGCCCTGGGCCCAAGACCTCACCCAGAGTCACTGGCAACTGCAGGGTTGGTGGAGCCAGGTTTGTGGAGGGGTAGAGATCAGGCCTGGGGGACTCCCTGCAGGTGGCTGTCCTTCCTTCTTTGTTTCTTTGTTTTGGTGTGGGTTTTTTTTTTTTTTTTTTTTTTTTTTTTTTTTTTTTTTTT